CGAGCGCTCCCCGCACCGCCCGCACAACCGCGGCCCTCGCGAAGAGTCCGGGCTGCGTGTGAGGAGAGGGGATCGCGTGTTGGATTCCGCGAGGGCGACTGGGGAGAGCTGAGGCAGTTGGGCCTGTTCGGCCTCGAGAAGAGACGGGTGAGAGGGCTCCTCGTTAAGGTGTGTAAATACCCAAAGGGAAAATGCCAAGGAGAGGGAACCGGGCTCTGCATAGGGGTGCCAAGCACTGGCACACAAGGCAACGGGCAGAAACTGAGGCACGGGGAGTCCCAGCTGAACCTTAGGAAGAATTCTCCTGTGTGGGTGACCGAGGTCAGGGATGGATTGCCCAGAGAGGGTGTGGAGCCCTTTTCACTGGACATAATCCAGACCCATCTGGGCACAATCCTGTGCCACGTGCTCTGAGCCTGTTTGAGCAGGGAGATGACTTGCTGTGGCCCTCCCAACTCCAGCCTCCTATGATTGTGTGGATATCACAAAATCAGATTCAGTTCCAGTGCTGGTGGGCCCAGGTGAGGCTCAGCAGCCCTACAGAATGTGATGTGACTTTTGGAGAAATGCACCAAGCTTTTACCAAGAGCAGTTCTCCAGCCAGGTTACACAAAGACCTCCAGCAACTGCACAACAGTAAAACAACCTCACAGTCAGGAAATGCAGTGCTACAACTTCCAACCAAGTGAATAAAGCATGTATGTAGTTGCTAGTCACTTAAATTAAAGACATTTTAAAAACTTTTTCAACTCATAAATAGAAAACAGAAGTCCAAAATTAGGATCAACCTTGAAATGTCACTTTTTTTTTGGAATTTGAAGCAGAGGATTTAAACCACAGAGATTTTAATCAGGGCTAACAGGGCTTTTGCTAACACTTGTTCTTCAAGTTAAATAAATAACAAGAACTGGTAAAGCTGACAAGGAAGGAACAGGCAGCCCCTGCAAATGCACTTGGAGACAGCTGCTATTTAACTGCCTCTTTACCAAAACATTCTCCAATATCCAGCCCTGCAAGCAGATTCTGTGAGAAGAGACTCTGTTCTACCATTACAGCGCTGCTTAGTCTGCATTGTTCACACCAAGATACCCAAGGAGAAAAATCCCTTCTCAGTTTCTTCCACTCCCTATTTCCCAGAAACAGGGAAAAAGATTGAAAACAAACTAAATCTCCTCATAGTCTTTGTAAAATAAAGCTCTGTTAAAATGTCGTGTTCCCTACTTCTCCAGAGCAATATTACCAGCTGTCAGGGGTCTGCATTAGAATAAACTCTGTCACTGACCCATCAAATACTGATTATACTGTTCCTGCTACTCTTTGTACAAAGACTGGAACATTGTGGGTATTTAAAACTTGGACATGTCAATTTGGCTGTAGAGCTTAAAATACAATCTTTCAATTAAAATACACAAATACTGAGAAGTAAACTTGCTCTTTTCCTGTATTACCTTGTGTTCTAAGAGATGAGCTGTGCAGTTCAATTTGTCAGCAAGGTCTATCATGAAAGACACTTCTCTGAACTGCTGGGGTTTGAGTCATATCTGCTGCATCTCTATTATTTCTGTGCTACCTTTAGAGATGCCAAGAGATTCCTCCCATGCTCCAATGAAATGCTGCTTCTGCACTTCAGGCAGCTCCAGGAAGCGACAAGTTCAGCCTGATTGTGTTTGAGGACACTGGATAAACTTTGAAAATTATAAACAAAGCAACAATGTGAGTATAATTAGAAAGAAAAAAAAGCAATGTCAATATAACAAAAGTGACATCAATTAAGATGTTTTTCCTTAGCACTGGAAAGGGATTTTTTAGGTATCTGGATCACATCTTGAAACACAGAGAACACAAGTGGGTCAGAGGGTTTCTTTTCCTTTTGGAAAAAAGGAATTTTAATGGTTTTAAAAACTTTCCTGTACAAAAACTGATCAATAACTGGCACTTGCTTTCCCGTGGTGGTAACACTTCTAACAATTGTTTCATTCAGCAGCAACTCCCACAGGTCCTGTAACAAAGATTATCTCTTTGGCCAGTGATGCGTGGAACCCCTGCAAAAGAGTCAAACAAACACTTTAACTCTTGCTCTAAATTCACTCAAGATTGAAAAATGACCATGTTACAATGATTCTATCAAGAGAGGGGACTGAGACAGCACCCTTCTCCCTCCAATGCTGCCCTTAGGTACTGTTGCTCTTTTATGACTAAGTAACACTCAATAATCAAATCCCCTAAGCTGAACACTAAGTATCTATTCAGAACAGGAAGGTTCATACAGTCACTCCTCCCAAGCTAGGCAGATGTTCTCCCCACTTCCACCTATCTCTGATCAAAGAAAGCAACTCCCACACCCTTTAACACAAACTTTTATCTCAGCATTTCAAACCTTCCACCCAGACTTGTCTTTGATTGCATTAATCCTAAATTGTTGGGGTTTTTTTTTTCCCCCCTTTAAACTGATGTCAGGGTGTGATGCAACCTCTTGCATTAAACACATGCTAAAGCTCCCACAGCATGGGAGGATAATAGTTAAACTCTGCCCATGGCTCTGGGGCAGGGGTGTGCAACCACTCCAGCTGGATGAGAACAGGATAAAACCACACCTTTCAGCTTTCCCTGCCAGGTAGGACATGCTCCGGTTCCCAGACTGTTGAAGTTTGTTACCTCCAGCAAATTTCTGCAAAAACAAACAAACAAATAAATAAAACAGCACCACAGTGAGGTTTATCCCAAGTATATTGAATGAGATTCACGTGCTGCCAGATCTTTCCAATCTCACAGAAATCTGCTCATTGACTTCCCTGGTCACAGAGTTCTCTAAGTAAGCATAAAACAGGCACAAAACATTGTGTCTGTTCATCAATGGTTTGATTGTTTATGAGTTTTTTCTTCTTTTCAATCTCAATAAGCAATAAATTAAGTAATAAATCTTTGAGCTGAGACTGTTCCTAATACCAGCACTTGGAGAGGTACATGAGCAACACACAAACCTGACATGCTCTGCAACCTCTGGAATGCCTGTGATTTTTGAGAATTTAATTTGGTACTGGAATTTGTGGTAGTTTGCTGTGATCCAAATGTCATGCTTGTGATGTATAGAGGCAAAAGTGTGAGCAATGTATGAATAGATGGGAAACAACAAGAGAGTCTGAGGGACTCCCAAGAAAACTCCTCCTGAATGGGAAAAAAAATAATAATACAAAGCATGAATTTGTGATTGGAAGCTGCATCTCAGCAGCTGTTAGGGAACATTCTGGAGATGCAGAAAATATCATGTGCCCTCCCAGAGAGCCCTTGGCTGGGTACATACAGTCACCCACATCTCTGTTCCTCCTTTCGTGACAGGTCCATACCTTGCCTGTGTAAGCTTGCTTGGCAGGATCAAACTGTGGTGACTGTTTTGATTTGCTGCTTCCTAGAGAAAGGAGAGAACCTGTCACTAAAATTTTCTATAAAGAGCAATGCATTTCACAGTGTTCCCCTGATGATATGGAGGTTTCACTAGTCTCCCACACAGTAAAATCCAGAACAATCTTTTAAGGGTAGGAGATGTTTTTGAATAGGTGCATCTTTACAAAGGAATCAAATCTCCTTTGCCTCTCAGTTCCTGGCTCAAATTAAACAGATAAAAGAAACAAAATCCAAATCCACAACTCACTTGCCCAATTGTTCCAGGATTTTGTTTCCAAACCAGAAAAAGGACACTAAAATGTACATTCCTCAAGTCAGTTCTTGAAGTATTTCCTCATTATAAGGTAATCCCGTTGTCACAGTCTGTACTGCATTGGCACCCACACCCACCCAGCCTTCTCAAGGCTCAGCTGGTAACATTTCCCACAGCATGCAGCACTCCAGCAAGGGATCAGATCTTACCTGCAAACACTTTCAAGTTGGAATTGCTGTAATCAAAGGGGGTAAACTGCCTCGGTGCTTCCAGCTCCTCCGGTTTCTGGGGGGTTTTTTGTCGCTTCTTTTCTTGTGCTGGCAACTCTGCTCCTGTTTCTGCTCCCATTTCACTTCTGTCTCTCTCCCTCTTCCTATTTGCTTGTTCCTCCTATGAAAGCAACCCAAAGAACAGAAAAAAGGATAAGAAAGGAGAACAAAACATCTCATTGGGCAAATTAACTGCCCAATGGAGCCAGGCCCCAGTGACTGCTCTTGCCTTTGGCAATAATAGCATGGGGAGAAAGCTCAGTGCTCTTCCTGGGGTCTAAACTGCAATATGTTTTTTTCTCCTCACAGTAGGGACTTTGATGGAAAGCCAAACTGTCATTTCACAGGGAAGCTGAGATCTGCTGTGGCCCCATTGGCATATTTGGGGGAACTTATGCAAAACAACTCAGGAAGCTTAAAGGAAGTGAGGAGGAGAAATGCATCAGTGGGAAACATTCCCTGCTGAACACACGGAGGGATGTGATGTGCACAGCACAATTAACAGGAGCCTGTTGTTACATCCAGGGCAGCAGCACAGAAAGACTACAATCAGAACACTGTCATTCAGGTATTTCAGTTACAGGGCTCAGAGTTTCATTCTGAGCTATGTTGTAACAATCAAGATGAGCAATGGTTGGAAGGAGGAATTCTATGACATACCATGGCTTGCTGACGAACAGATACAACATTCTGTGCTGGCTTTTTATGCAACTTCTGTGTCTGGACATGGGCAGCTATGGAGACAAACAAACATTACTGTAAAGAGCAGGAGTAAGTTAGCCAGGGGCTTAGAAAAAGCAATCCAAGCAGCTTGTATCAAGTCTCCAACTAAACAGAGTACAAATGTTAACAAATTCATCAGGAAATCCATCATCTGGATGTTTTTCCCAAGGAAGCTTGGGAAAAACATTCAGGCAGACACACCAAGGAAGGGAAGAATGGCTCTACCTGACTGCTGGGCTGCTTTTGTATTGGTTTCATTCTTGGACTTCTTCTGTACTGGTGCCTGACTCATCAGCTTCCATCGATTGCTGATCTGCAATGAAAAAGTGTTATTGCAAACACTTTCTTTAAAGTTTTGTATCAAGAAGTTGTTTATAAACTTGTTAACACATGCTGATCTTTATTAAGAGTACAAAAGATCAAATTTGACTGTAAAAGAGATTAATATCTGCTGTATGTGAAGTAAAACTAAATGCTTTAAAATTTCAAAGCTACAAACAAGCCTTGAAAATAAATGCAGATACTTCAGTAGAGTCATCAGCTTTGACAGACAGGGACTATAGAGCAGAATGTCTCCAATCCCTGGTTCTTCAAAGGATATGAATGTCACAGAAACATGTTCAATTTCTCAAGAAGTATCCAAGGAGAAAATAATAAATCTACATTGCTGAAGCTCCTGATGGAAAATAAACTATTTATTTGTTTCTCTTGTACTACTTGGCAGGAAATTTTAGCACCAGTCTTACTTCATAAATTTTTGATGATGGGTCAAACTTTGCAGATTGTGAGACATAGGCAGAATTCTCCTCTGGAGGCAGAAACTGTAGAAAGGAAAAAAAAATTTGCTTTTAGCAGCATGTGACATTTAGCTCATTGCTAGAATGCTACTTGTTGTAAATCAGTGAGTTAATCTGAAAAAATATTCTACAGATTTCCACCTTGTGGGAAAAAAGAAGACACCACAGCTACTGCTAAGAGAAATACTAAAGAAAAAAACAACTAAAAACCCCTCCCCACAAAACCAAAACGCCCCCAACAGACCAACCTTCAAATGCACACCAGAAAAAATGTTATTTTCTAGTAATTTACTAGAATTCTATTGTTATTCTGATTCATGACAAGTATAGAATTAGCTCACTAATCCCTAGCCATAAAGGACAGATGAAAAACCTAAAACTAAAAAGAAAACTAGTGAATGGTCTGTTTACTATGTAGAAAGACTTATATCCAAGAGGTATTTAAATGTGTTTTGAAAACAAGTCCACACATGTCTGTGCAAGAAGGACAATCCCTTGATTCCAGCCAGAGAGCAGCAGCTGATGCTCTGTTAAACCCTTCTGATATGCCTGGAAAACTAGCTCAGAGCACCCTGTGCACTGGGTAATTTGAGTGCCACTATTGGGAGCTTTTACCATTTTAAATGGATTTTCAAAGGATTCCATTATTAGCTGAGCTTTCCGCTGTGCAGTGGTTAAAGTCCTCTTATTTCCTTCGTTTTCATCACATTCCTTAAAAAAAAGGAAAAAAAAGGAAGAAATATTAACACAAATATTCTTTTGCTTTGGTTACTGTTGTTTTATCCCATGCTGATTCTCACTCTGAAATCCCACTGACAGCAGTGACCCTACATAATTATGGAATGGAATTAATGGAATTAACCTTGCTGGCCTCCTAACCCAGTTGTCTTGGTTAGGCCATATGCCTATCAAAATTCAGTACCACTGCCATGCATTCCCATCTTGATTCTTTCAACACTTGCACACAGTTTTATCAGATATAGTTAAACTATTTTAAATGATAAAATTGATCAGTTTTATCAGATTATTAAGTCTGTTTTCTAGTAGTTCAATACTGACACTGTCACAAACATATTGCTTACACTGAATATGCTGACAGTGCTAATAGCAATAAGACAGGCTGACTCAGACTCTGGCTGAGTATCTTGAATATCCACTGTCCTCTCACTCTCTGAAAAGAGACAAACATCTTCCAAAACTGGTGCAGGGTCTGCATGAAAAGGAGACAAAATTTTTATTAGAGTCTTGTGTATTTTACTGCTCTTTTGTGTCATGAGGTTTCCCTGAAAGTTTTTTCAGGACTGCTTATTTCCCTCATGTGAAAACTCCATCGCTGCATTATT